CCCCCAGAACCCCTAGGCCTTTTAGCGTTATAGTGGTAGTTGGCGTCTACTTCCCCCCAGGGCAGTCGGCAGAAAGTGAAAGAGAACTGATTGAGCATATTACTAGGGGACTTGATTCTGTCTTACGAGATTACCCGTCTGCTGGTGTATGCATAATGGGAGACTTCAATCAAATGAAGCTGAGTAGACTATGCAGAAGATTTAACTTGAAGAAGTCTGTAAAAGCACCGACAAGAGGCACCAGAGTTTTGGACCAAATACTAACGAACATGTCAGATTTATATAAAGAAGTGGTGCACCTGCCTCCAGTTGGTCGCTCTGACCATCAATGTTTGTTGTATAGTCCCAAAACAATACAAACCGTGAAGCCTTCTACTCGAAAAGTGCGCCTAACGAAACTATGTAACCTAAATGCACTCGGCCTAAAATTAAACCTTGAGGACTGGAAATCAATATTTGAGGCTCGAGATATCAATAACAAAGTTAGTCTTTTTACAAATACTATAATAGACATATTAGATAAAACAATACCTGTAACCACGATACGTACCCATGCGTCTGACAAGCCATGGATGACGGCTTATATAAAAAAAGAGATTAAAGCGAGGCAAAAAGCCTATACTACTGGGAACATGACCAAATATAGACAATTGGCTGATAAGATCATTACACTTATCAAGAAAGCTAAAGCAGAATTTTATTCATCTAAGGTCAAAAGCAAACGCAAACACGATGCAGCAAAATGGCATAGAACGATATCCCAGTTAGCTGGCTTTGAAGGTGACAATCTAAACAACAACTTAATCTCAGACAGCACTCCAGATACAGCGGAAATACTGCAGAATATATTTACTAAACCATGGTCAAAACTTCCTGAAACCATAATCCCTAGTCTTGAAGACGTAGCGTCATCACTGAGGCAAGAAAATTCTCCTACTCCCTCAATTGGACAGGTTAAGACTGCCTTGAAACAACTAAACTCTAAAAAAGCCACCGGGTCCGATGGGATTCCAGCATGGGTGCTTAAACGATACTGTGAAGAACTAGCGTCCATCGTTCATGACATTATTTGCGCCAGTATAAAAGAATGTGAATATCCAACTGCGTATAAACACGCCTTAGTTATCCCAGTTCCGAAGGTCAATCCACCAAGAGATATCGAGAATGACTTTCGCCAGATATCCATTCTTCCCCAAATGGCTAAAGTGCTGGAAAAGCTGCAGCTCAAACTGAACCTTCCCAGTTCACGTATAAATGATAATCAGCATGCCTTTACAAGCAAACGATCAACCGTGTCCGCACTCACCAACATCTCGCAGAACTGGTTTAATGTGACCGACAATACTCACAGCGCCAAAAATGGAGTTCATGCACTATTCATAGATTTTCGCAAAGCGTTTGACCTTGTTGACCACGGAATTCTACTTTGTAAGCTCGCAGAAATAAATGTAACCAAAGCCTTTTGGCTATGGACACGTAGTTTTCTGGAAGATAGAAGACAACAGGTCAAACTAGCAGGAACCCTATCATCGGTCAAACCTTGTCCTGCCGGAGTCCCACAAGGTTCTGTGATGTCCCCCGCTCTTTTTAATATTCACATTAACGATATTGAGAACTCAATCCCAGATGGATTATCCATAAACATATGCAAATACGCGGATGATTGTACACAGGACGAAGTGGTGTCACAAGGTTCATCCAGCCATATGCAGGAGGCCCTTGAAGCAGTACAAGAATGGTCTAATAGGAACAAAATGACGATAAATTCGAAGAAAACAAAAGATATGTGGATATGTTTTAACACAGCAATACCGGCACCAGAACCATTGGTCATTGGAAACGAGGTAGTGGAAAGAGTAAATTCTCATAAACTGTTGGGTGTCTGGCATCAAAACAATTTGAAATGGAACTGTCATGTCAAGAACATTGTAAGGAAAGCAAATAAACGAATGTTTAGTCTGAGAGAATGCCGTAGGGCGAATCTTCCTCCTGAGGTCGGTATTACATGTTATGAATCCAAGATTAGACCTGTTTTAGAATATGCAGCTCCGATATGGGGTGGTTTACCACAATATCTCATTGATGAAATAGAGAGCATTCAAAACAGATGCATCAAAATCCTCGGCACATCTCGGTGCAACTTTGAAACGCTAGAACAAAGAAGGGCACACCTAACTGTTAAGGAATACCAAAGAATTCTAAGTGATCCGACCAACCCATGTAATAAACTTATCCCCCAACCTTTTACCCATGAACACGATCTAAGAACAACAAATAATCTACCATATGTTGTATCGTATACTAAAAGACACCGGCAATCCTTTATACCTAGAGCTATATCCCTTTTAAAACAGTCGTAAATTAATTTTATAGAATATATGACTAGTATAAACATTTTCAGCAACATTGATGTAAATAATAGTAAAATTTCTTCTTATCAATTTTAACCTTAGCACTTCTTGTAAATCCATTGTACTTTTTTAACCAAAGATGGATATTAAATGTTAAATGTTATATATATATATATATATATATATATATATATATATATATATATATATATATATATATATATATATATATATATATATTAATTGGAAGACAAACTTGAATTACTTCATATGAACTTTTTTCACTACAAATTTGTTTCGTATGACAAGACGAATCTTGCCACACTCATCAGGTGAATTTAAATAACGCGCTATGTTGTTGGTTAGGATATACTGTGTACATGTTTGAGGTCAAAAGTGTTATATTACAGTGTTATTTATAATCTATTTATTGCTCAACAGGAATTTGTTCCGGTGTCTACATTTTGACAATAGTTCATTTCTAGAGTTCAAGGAGCTGAGTTTAGGATAATAAATAATTAGAAATTTTTCGTGCATGCATAAGTTGCATCGTTTGGTTTTGTTTGAGTAACTTTTACACTTTTTCATAATTCTCCATTTAATAGAGTATTTTACGCTGGACTCTTTCAAATTCCAGACATATTTACTTGGTTCAGTAGCATGTTTGTATCTGGAGTTTCTGAAGGAACTGGTGTGACCATTGTACCTTGTTTTGAATTCCCCTTCTGTGTGTCCTACATATAGGTCTTTTCCTCTTTTGTATCGTTTCTAGTCACAGTTGCTTGATAAACAATGCTGCTTGTTAAGCATTTACTGGAGAGAAGACAGGAATCTTTCTTACGGCAATTGCACTCACTACTCTTTTCAGACGTTTGATTCTTAGTTGTTTCAGTTTTGTCTTGTTTGTTGAGTATATTCTTGTTATGACCAGAGACAACAAACTTATTTTATATTTTAAAATTGTAAATAAGTTAACACCAAATTATTTGTCAGATTTACTGCCTCAAACAGTACGACAAAGGTCGGGTCTATCCTTAAGAAATGCTTCTGACTTTTCTCCTTTTGGTGTGAGATCTGAAAGATTTAAAAAATCGTTTTTTCCTTCAACTACTATATTATGGAATAGCATTGATATTATTGATCGAAATTCAAAGTCGATTGTTTTTTTTAAGAGCTCATTAACTTCGTTTTTTGACATTCAAACTTATACTGGCTACTATGATTTTTCTATTGATAGGTATTCTTCTACCTTACACACTCGTTTGCGCCTTAATTGTAATGCTTTAAATTATTATTTGTTTAAAATTAATTGTAGATTATCTCCAGCATGTTCATGTGGAGATTCTTGTGAATCAGTCATTCATTATTTGTTATATTGTCCTCGTTATGCTGCTCTTAGATTATCCTTACTCTCGGTAGCTGCTCAAATTTATGGTGAAAGCTGGTATCTCTTGTCCGATTCTCAAAAGTCTAAAATATTTTTGTCTGGTTCAACTGATTTGAGTATAGAAAGTAATAGATGTATATTTATGCATGTTCAAAAATATATTAAGCAAACTAATCGTTTTTCTAAGAATTAATTTATTACTTTGAACCTTCAATTGAACCAGCTTTTATCACTTTTGTTGTTTTTTTCCCCCTCTTTCTTTGTAATGTTCGTCTTCTGTTGTGTATATTATTTAATTATTTGTTAAATGTAGTGTGAGCCCCTTGATGAGCGTCCACGCTCTTGGGTAAACATTAAAGTTATTCAATATGTTTATATAAAAAAAAAAAATAAAAAAAAATATGTCTCGGACAATATGTCTGATATTGTCCTATATATATAGGACAATATGTCTCGTCATATATAATAGCTAACATTTTTATCTCCATGTTGTATTAAATCTGCACAACTCTACTTCTTTACTAAAACTTTGCAAACATTAATATACTGTATTATAATATAGCATTTGTAAATTCTGAACGCTGATCAGTTGGCTAAGAGCCGTGTTGATATAACTCGATGTCAACACGGAAACGTCGGAAAATTTCTTTCTTTATGTGTCTTTGTGCTATTTTATAAAACAAATATAAAATTTTTTCCGTATTTATATAGTTATATATCAACATTCGTGGAAATTGAGAAAACTCGAAATTGTGTGAAAACACTCCGCCCTTCGGGCATCGTGTTTCTACACAATTTCTTGTTTTCTCAATTTCCACTCGTGTTGATATAACTGTATATCAACACGGAAAATGTTTTATATTCGTTAACTTTATTTCTTTATTTCTTTACATTTCTTTACTTTATTTCATTTGACTGTATTGTTAACAAGTAATTTCAATACGTTAATATATACTGAACATAACTATAGAGGGCTTGATAAAAGCCTGTTAAGAATCTATTAGGTCTCTAGCCCTATCATTTGTAAATATTATCTGAATTGTTCGGTTATGTAGGTCCTAATTTTGTACATAGGGAAAAAATAATCAAACAAAATAAATTAGAAAACTTTGCAGCCTCGATGATCGGACTGAGGGGAGAGCCACATTAATTTCTTGATCCATACTGAATTTGACTATTAGTTCTTCTGAAGTTAAAAATATTATGAAATCCTATCTCCCCTACGATTTGGGAGCTCAAAATAATATTGATAAATAATATTTCTAAAACTGCATAATGTTTAAATTTTCTCTTGCCTCTTTGTCCAGTTCACTAAGTATGCCATTGTCGCTTTCGGTATCCACTTTCTTTGTGCTTGAATCCGGTAAAGAAGTTGGACGTGAATCTAAACAAACGCAATGCACGTAAATGATGCTAAACACCCGGAGTTTTCAAATGTTCGTACGTTGGCTGGCTTTTTGGCCTCGTACTGATTATATTGAAAATAATTAGCCTGCGTAGCAGGCGGTATTCGCGGGCACGAGAGAAAGGGAAGCTAGAAATACCGCCTGCCCAAAAACTACACATTCTGAGTTCTCCCCGGCAGCTGGGTGCCGGAGCATCCTGATTGGTCAGAATGTTGATTTTCAATTTTTGATTGACAGGAGTAAAGAATTAGAATAGTTAGTGCTAATTTTAGAAGTTACTGTTGCCGTATTTATAATATAAGCTATTGTTATTTTCGTAATTGATACCGATATATCGAGTGATGGCATACACTAACCAAAAAATAACGGATGCATTAATTGAGAATTAAGCGTTGAATTCTTTAATCTTTATCTGGAATCGGAAATTGCTTCGTCTTGAAGAATGAACAACGAATATCAATCCAACATTTGTTACTTGATAGATGTGATACCGTGATAAAAGTGCAGATTTGAAGATACAGGCTCGTAAGTGACACTCTAAGTAGTGTTTTTGATAGCGATTGGAACACGACTATTACAAAGTTACGTCCAAAGGGGCCGAAGTTATGTTCGGTGAAAGGTATGGCTAGTCTAGTAATATTGTTCAGACAATTGCGTAATTTGATAATACACGAACTCGCTTGACTTTCAAAGCTCATAAATCGCTATAATGTTGACATCGAATAAAACTATCGCTATGAATGAGGACATATTGTTGCACTGAATCGAACGTGGTATTTTTGTCTTCATAGCATTGAATGAACCGAAGACATATGCCGAAGATATGAAACGTCAAAGCCGTATATTTGTGAGTTAGACAAATAATTAAAATAAATGCATTAAGATGGGCGGGACCATGCGTTCGGTGGGCGGAACTCAGAATGTGTAGTTTTTGGGACGCAGGCTATGAAATAATTAAAGCATTGATTTTTGCAGCTTAATTCCATTCCTACTTTATTCATTGTCATGCAGAAGTGACGTTAGAAAACAGGCGATCTAGTCTAATTTATTGCCGTTAATTAATGGTCATTGACGACTGGTCTACTTTAACTAGAAGTGAAAACTGGATTACCCAGAGAGATGCTGCGGAGTTTTGTAGAGTCAAACTTTTCACACTCTTTCAAAACACGACTAAGACAAAACTATAACGAAGTCAAGTACCTGCATTAAGCGTTGCAGGACTGAGACCATGGATGAAAAAGTTAAAAGCATGTGAAAATGTCCAACAGCTGTGGAATGAAAACTCGCCATATCAAGCAAAACAAGGTAAACTAGCAAACAGAGGGTATACTAAACTTTTTTCTAACCATTCAATCTTCAAGAGATTACCTGTTGTTGTAGATCGTGTCTTTGGAGAAAGTGTTGTCGTATTTTCTCCTAGTGTCGTTGTTGCTAGAAATTATATTGAACAAATAAAAGGTAAACTAGCAATTGCAAACAGATTAAGGTAAACTTAATTTTTCTTTAACCATTCAATTTTCAATAACTTACGTGTTGGTGGTGTAGCTGTAAAAGGTGTTGTCGTATTTCCTCCTGGTGAAGAAAACAGCATAATAGAATAGCTTGCTAACTTTATACCTTATATCATTTCATACTGCTGCGTATTTATACTATTGCAACTAGAAATACATGCATGCATGCATGCATCAGCATCCCCTCGCGGGCCTCGCCCACATGTTCTAAACGTTGTTTCAACGAGAAGTATTCTTAATTACGCCAACTCTGAACGCACAATCGCGTTTCTCATATAATTCGTGTTATAATATAGTCATTCACCGTACATGAGCTGTTCTGCAATCTAATTGGTTGAATTACTCGCCGTATATCAGCTCATATACGGCGAGTAGCGAAAAACAAGATGGCGGTCCAAAAACTACATGAGTTTTGTGAAGCAGAAAAAAGGAAAATATTCGCTTTGAGAAAGATAATAGTACAAGGAAAAACCCTCAAAAAAATTTGACAGGTTAGCAAAATACATTTATTACATAGAAATTAGTTTAAATATATGTTTTTTAAAGAATTAACCGAAACAACAGCGAAAAAGAAATGTTCATTGAGAATATAAATTGTTCAGAAAAGTTTGCAACGAAAGATAAATGAATTTACAGTCAACAAGCTCTTACTATACTACCAAACATCTGTATAATATATCTGAGCTTTTCTGTGAGATATGTTGTATAAAAACAAAGGTATTTCAAATTTTCAAGGCCAAGCGGTTTTTAGCCGAACAAATTGTCAAGACATTGTAACAGAGGATAATTAATTATTGCTTCAGTTAATGGCTATTAGACTATGTTATAAAACAATTATACCATTTGCTCTCGTCGTATATGGTTGATAGCCGACTCGGTGCTACGCACCTCGTCGGCTATCAGCTCATATACGATTCGAGCTCATGGTATAATTGTTAATTATGTTAGCCACGGCAACACGATTATTGTTAAAATTTTTGTACAAACCGGAACAAATAATATCGAACTTTCTCTTAGCCTCATTTTATTAATAGACTTTATTGTCAAGGCTTTTTATTAAAAACAACGTTTCGGAGTTTACCCCATCATCAGGTTAAAAGACTACAATATTTATAAGTAATAGCATGACTTGAAGGAAATTAGTGATTAAATGCCCCGAATTAGGCGAGGGATGTTTCAGGTTGCACAAACCTCCCGAGCCTTCGGGGCATTTAATCACTAATTTTCCTCATGTCATGCTATTAGTTTGTAATAATATGATCACCGGTTGTTTAAAACTCATATAAATGAGAATGCAAACAAGTATGTAATCCCCGAGCCGACGGCGCGAAGCGCCGTGTGAGGGTACTGATTCCCCCGGCTATTTACACCAGGGGAATCGAAAGCATCAGCGAAGTCTAAAGTTCATCAAATATCGCGGGCGTGGGTCACCAACCGTGGGTGGTCATTCTCACTGATCTCAAAAATATGGCGGACTGTCATGAATAGCGAACACTGCGATTGGTCCAATTTAAAGTTTGCATTATAACGACTGCATGACGACAGCGAAATAGCAAACATTTCTTTATTTGATGATTCGGATAAATTTCTTGCAAATATATTTCATTTTTGCTCGCATTTTTGCAAGGTTTTGTAAATTTCAAGAAAGAAATGGCGAAAGAATCGGCTAAAAGAAGGGAGCCGACGTTAACGAAGGTAAGTTTGTTTTAAATATTGATTTTATAATTGCTTTAAAACCCGATGGCCTTCTGCGTATTTGAAACAACTAAACAAGACAGCATATCGGGCCCCATTTCAGTGTATCTTTAATATTGATTCCCTTTTTTATTATATTGAATTTTTTTAAATAAAAAAGAAAGCAAAGTTATTTGCATGCGAGAATTTGAAATCATTTTATTGCAAACTCAAAGTTTATCGATAAAGCCATTTAATTAAAGGCAGTTTAGTTTTATAAAGAACACTTTAAAATGTTTTGCGAAGCGTTTGTGGTTGAATTTTACCTTAAATTGAAGCTTATATTACGTATAATATCATACCTAACATATATATGTTGGGATATTGATAATTTTGTAATTAAAAGTGATATCTTTAACCGATTTTTCATTTGTATTAAGAATATTCTTAAGAAATTATCGTGTTACCATGATAACTACTTTAGATACTTCATGTTCGGAAAATACAATGGTTTTGTCAGCAAGGCAAGGGTTTCTGCATGCATGTATTTTCTAGTTAACTGTACATAAAAAGGTTCTATATTTGAAGGTATTAGTCTCCCAAAAGAATTACCTAAAATTGTCCTATCTAGGCAATACAAGAGATACTTGCTTGAGTTGCGTTCTTCGAATTGTATATCCGAACTTACATTACGAAGATGCATTGATGGAAGCTGGGATGGAGTCATTGTACGCTAGAAGGCAAATTGCCTGCAATAAACTTTTTAATCAAATTTTAAATAACCTGAACCATAAACTTCATAATTTAATCCCTAAAATAGATACTTCATTAAATTACCAATTACGAAACAACAAGAAGATACATGTTCCGAAATTCTATACTGAACGTTTTAAGAATTCGTATGTCATCGCTAGTTGTTTAGACATAAATAATCGTAATTCAACAAATTAGTGTTAGTTTTAATATTTATAATCTTCTTAGTAAGGCATAGCATAGGTTGTAATTTTTTAAATGTAATATAATTTGTATTCAGTCTTATTTATATTGTAATCGCTTACCAATTCAGTATTTGTGCTGCAAAAAGTGAATTATTAAACAATCTATCTATCTATCTATCTATCTATCTATCTATCTATCTATCTATCTATCTATCTATCTATCTATCTATCTATCTATCTATCTATCTATCTATCTATCTATCTATCTATCTATCTATCTATCTATCTATCTATCTATCTATCTATCTTTTTATCTATCTATCTATCTATCTATCTATCTATCTATCTATCTATCTATCTATCTATCTATCTATCTATCTATCTATCTATCTATCTATCTATCTATCTATCTATCTATCTATCTATCTAACTATCTATCTATATATCTATCTATCTATCAATTGTAGCCTATATTTAATACACAGTGTAATCATTTTTAACCCTATTTGCACCGGAGGTGCGCATAATGAGCGCACCCAAATAAATAATTATCCGTCATTCTTGAACAAATGAATCCATTTGATTTAATTTCTGAAAATTCAAAGTTATCTGGACGTTTGACGACATTTGTCAAACAAGGTGTCTGGGCCAAAAATGGGAAAATGTGGGTTGGACAGTATTTTTTGGTATATTAGTACAGTATATTAATTAGAGAACATATAAGGATGGATTATTACACATAATTTGCAAAGTAAAATACCATAATGGGTCATTCCAGAAAAGATCCATACCCCCTACGGAGGAAATCGAAAATAACCCCCTCTCCCCCTTCGGACATCCTTGAATGGTTCATCCTCCCCCCC